AGTCCCAGTGTTATCTTTCGCATCTCTTTTAAAACAAATACCGAACTCCAAGGTAAATTCAAAAAATGTGGAAGTCCATAAAACCTGACAAATCAATTGCTCAACCGTATCAACAAACGAAAAGTTTCCGAAACTTGTATAGGTTCGGAATATGTAATAGCATTATCATAATTGAACTACTTTGTTCTAAGTTTTCATAACTTTGAAAATGATAAAAAAATGTGTACAGATGTGAATATCCTTTTTCGTCAGTTTGTTTCAGGTAAATATGATCATTGGTATTCATTATAAGTCAAATTATTTTCCATAGTATGCATACTTTATCATATTGATACCCATGATATGCAAGGTTTAAAATTTTTAGCGCACACTTATATACATTCACATTTTTAAGTAGACAATTACATAACAATTCTTTCCGAATGCGTAGGTATGTACTTCTGGGAACTAAATTTCTATAAATATAAATTAACAAACAATTGCGCTTTTCCATGACTTAAGTCATTGTTTATATAGTATTTTAAATAATTCATTGACCTAACAACCTTATGACACAAATACACGCTTAAGTTAGATTTTCCTACTTCACTTATCACAAAAAACACACCCTTTGTTACGTCGTATACACACAACATTATAAGTTTATATTTTGCTATGAAAATTATTAGTTAATTTAAGTCTCACACATCCGTTTTAAGAGTAATATAAATATATAAAATCAATCGAAATGAATATAAATAACCATACAGACAAAAAGTAGTAATGTCGTTGCATCCGGTCTTCTGTCTGAATCACTCAAATGTTCCTTTAACATTTCATTCTAACTCCTTTGTACATGTTTCCGTAAAACTGTAAAAGTTTGATTGGTTAAATGAAAATAAAAATGTTTCACATAGCTCGGTATCAAATGTTAGAAAGAAGGAGTTTTTTGCAAAAATATGAACCTTAAGAGACATGGCAAATCAGTTTGATATGAACAATACTTTTGGATTGATTTAAAGGTTACGATTTGATAGAAATACCATCATGCAGCATTATGATTTAGGGTAGTCAATTCGAACCCTTGATTGTTTGTCCGGATTTGGCAATATCTTTGATTCGGTATCAAATGTTAGAAAGAAGGAGGTTTTTTGCAAAAATATGAACATTAAGAGACACGGCAAATCAGTTTGATATGAATAATGTTTTTGGATTGATTTAGAAGTTACGATTTGATAGAAATACCATCCTGCAGCTTTATGATTTAGAGAAGTCAATTCGAACCCTTGATTGTGTGCATCCCTGAAGATACATTAATGGTCGGAATACGCATCTGGTGCAGTACAATTTGTACCGTTTATGTTATTACTTCTAAGTTTCGGTCAATTAAATTTGAATTGCATCAAAACTTCTATGGGTATAACATTTAGTTAAACTATCGGTGATACGTTCAATATTGAATAGTCAACCGTCATTAGATACCAATTTAATCCGTATTTAATGTGTTCATTGTGTTACTCATAGCAGCCTCTTACATTCACAAACATTTTACAACCCTGAATTTATTGCTGGTGTCAAAATTTATGAAAATAGACAGCCTATGAACATTTACTCTGTATACATCAGTCTCTTTGCCTAATATAATAATGTGCAAACAGGACTCTAAAGTTTTCTCTCAAAGTATGTTATAATGATCTAGTACAGTATATAACTAGAGGCTCTAAAGAGCCTGTGTCGCTCACCTAGGTCTATGTGCATATTCAACAAAGGACAATCTCCAACATTGTAGACGAGAATAGAATTCATGACAAAAATCTCTGTTTTGTTGATCTTGTTTTGCTGATCATTTAGTCTGTTTAGTTTCAGACTATCTTCTTAAGGTTTTGCTCAATAAACAAAAGAGGGTAAACAAAAATCCTTATTTTAGGGGCTGGGCAATCACTCCTATAAAGAGTTACAGCTACTACCTATATCAGTGAAATGTGACTTGTAAGTAGATATTGCCTTGCGGATCATTTTTGTGATTTAAAGTGTCTATTTATCTATTATAATTTTTATCATGTAAGGCAAAACCCCCAAAAAATGATAAAAATCGTCATTAAAGGGCAATAATTCCAAGGAGACGTCGGACAATTTCCTCCATATTGTCTTAATTGTAGATCTTGTCTTACTCATCAATTTTGTTTATTCAAGTTTCTATCTATCTATTACAATTTTTAAGATATAAGGCAAAAACGCAAACAATTGGTAAAAATTTTCATTAAAGGGAAATAATTCTAATAAGGAGTCGGCTGACGATTTCGGCATTTAAACTTATCTGTAGAACTTGTCTTGCTGATCATGTTTGCGGTTTAATGTTTCTCTGTATCTCAAGAATGAGGCAAAAATGAAAAAAAATGGTAAAATTTGTCATTTAAGGGCAATAACTCCTATAAATAGTCGTCTGACAATTTTGAAGTTTAGGGACAATTGGTAAAGCTCAACATTCTGAACATTTTTACTTCGTCAGATTTTCTCTATTCAAAACGGTTTTCAAAATAATAGACACAACTTGCATTTTTACCCTATGTTCTATTTTTAGCGGGGTCATCAGACACATTTTTTAAACTAGATACCCCAATAATGATTGTGGTCAAGTTTGGTTAAATTTGGCCCAGTAGTTTCAGAGGAGAAGATTATTGTAAAAGTTAATAGACGACGACGATGGACAACGACGACGAAGGTCGACGGAAGCCAAGTGATGAGAAAAGCTCACTTGGCCCATTGGGCCAGGTGAGCTAAAATCATCATGACATGTACAGACTATCCTGACAAAGTACTATAAATACGAGGGTACAAAAAAATGAAAATAAAACAATACAAATTTCGTGCATGCGCTTCGCCCCTCTTGATCCATCGCATCAGGAATGCCAAATACAGAGCCACGGCAAGAGTCATAAGACCAAAAGGAACTTAATCATACAAATTCAAATAAAGATAAAACTGAAAATGTCATGAAATGTTACACACATATTTTTAAGTCAAGACCAACAAGTATCATGTGTTGACGCTGAATATGTTTATTAAAGTTCTTGGTACCGCGCGATGAACTTTTGAAAAAAAGGACGAGACATTCTTTGACAATCCATCATGGCTTATTATAAATCATTTCCGCAGACTTACGGTTTTTTCAAAATATAAGTAGCAGCTGCAAGCTCTTTAATATCGTGAAGTTGAGAAATGTTTACTCTATACGCAGATGAAGTTGGTATACGGAGGGAGTCGAGATATTTTCCTAACTTACTGAATAGTATTAGACTGATATTGATGCTCATGGTCTTAAAATTGATTGGTTAATAAAAAAATAAATACACTTTTTTAGGAAATGTTTTACCGTTGTCCGTCTTGTAATATTTTTCTTTACTTATGGCAGTCTGTTTTTCCGGATTATGGATCTTGATTTCTCATTGGTTATCATTTTTCACACAAGTTAAGATTTGCTTTTATATAACAAATGTCACAGAGGGGGGAAAAGAGTGCATTGGTATAAGGAAGTACAAAAGTTTGGGATTTTTTTTACCCCAGAAAATTACAAATTCTTAAATCCATTCAAGACTACTATTTAAACAACGAGGCAACATTGGTATTACCTTTTTTATAAGTTCTTTTAATGTACAGATCTGATACTACCTGGGCGAGGAAGAAATTTGAGCGTATACCTGTTCATTTTTGGAGATATTTCTGTACATTATTTTAAGATTGATGGTAACAAATTCGGTGATCTCTTATGGTATATAAGAGACAATTGCCAATCCGCTAAAACATGATGTCTACTTACTTAATATAACTTATCAACGTTTTTAAAAGACTATCATGACGAGTGTCACGTAAGATCAGGATCTGCTAACACACCCGAATCACCGGCGATAATCCCCTGTTGTTGACTTGGTTCGTGTAACTACGTCCTTATCTGTCTTAGTGGAGTGACAAATGAAGAAAAAGGTGCTTATTTTACGACTTCAATGGACCGGCATAACTGCAGTCTGAAAATGATTTTTTTGCACAACTTATACATTAATCTTACTTTTTTATCCGGTCGTAGCCATTTCCTACGGTGCAGTTTTTCATAAAATGGAAATAAAAAGACATGTTTCATTCAAAATGCAACTCGACAAACTTTTTTTACTGTTGTTGCTTTTTATGGTCATCAAGCTCTTGATTTGGCATTTTATGAAGAGTTTAAGTACTAATTTATATTGTAAAACTATAATTTCTTCTATTTTGCCTTATTTTTGTTCGTTTTCACTCAGTTTTAAGAATATGCACTCTGTTCTATTTCCACGGAGTGGTTACAACATTTGTAAATTTACATTGCATCGATATCTTCCAAATTTTTTGCGCTAACAAGTAATAAAACTTCATTTTGTACAGTTATGAGACCTCTCCGGCTCGGTTTTTCTACTAAATTCACGTCTTTCGACATATTTTAATATACATTAAAATTCTATGAATTTCCGGATTTTTTTCTGCTACCGATACGATGTAGATTTACTTTTCATTGACGAATAGCTTTAGAGGTGGCACGGTAGTATTTCCCTGCCATAGGCGACAATAGTAACATTTTACAGATTTTCATCACTTTCTAACACTCCCCAAGACCCAAAACCTACTGTAACTTGAAGTACTTTCATTCAGATATTCAGAAATAAATGAGAAACACCATCATGACCGTTTACTTTTTTAGCTATTGTCACCAGTCTAAGGGAACCAGTCATTTACATCATATTTGGCCGCAGTAAATGTAATATTTTAAAAAAATTGTCAAAAATTTATGTCTATAGTTAGATTTAAAAATAGGCATTTTTCATACTCATTATTGGTTAAAATACTTGAAAAAAATGTTTCTGGTTGATAATCCATTTCAATGTCCAATCACAGTGTCATAAGTATTCACCTAAGTAGGGTACACAAAGGAGCAACCTAAAACGTGGGAAGCAAATACTACCGTGCCACCTTAACCACCACTTAATTAAAAGAATATGCTGTAGATATCTTTTATTCACTATCTATAATCATTTCTGAAACTGTCTGAGAAATCTTAAGTTGTTCTTACATCCATTCCATGAAAACTGAGGGAAATCAAACGACTAGCCATATGCTGCGGAAATCCAGTTTTCAACTCTGAAAAAGAAGAATTAAGACTAATTAGTATTTTATATTTTTTGACATTAAATACAATGTACACTGCATCTTATTCTGTTTTATTTCAAGAAGAAATGAAATGCACTTCAATTAAAGGCAAAATGGAGACTGATGGTCACATTTCAGGCCAGCATGAGGCCTTTTAGTATCCTTATTTGTGATTATTTCAGGTGTTTTTTTGTCAAATTTCAAAGTATTTATTCCTATTTCATATAAAAAGTGACAAGTAAAGTGCTTATTTCTAGTGTAATATTAAAATAGTTGATAACTAAATGCATTTATGTCAATTAGAGGTAAATTATTAATCAAATGGCATTTTATTGGATGTATGATGTCAGAGGTATATATATCTATTACTTTCTGGCACTATAAATCACTCAACACACTCTGACTAACTAGATACTGAGTCAACCTTTATGCTGCTATTGACAGATCCAATTCCACCTGTCCTGACCTTTTCATGATACAAAAACCCAATTAAATTTCTCTTACTGTAAGCAAAGATAACTTTTTTATGAAAATTTGTGAAATATTTAACAATGAAAGGCAATACTAAAAGAAAAAAAGGACACTTTTCAACCTTAAAACAACCTGATTCAAACAGAAATGGAAGTTCCAAAGGCCTTAAAGTTAAGGATGTTAAGAGGACTTATTTGAGACTTAAAAAGACAACACAAAAAAAAGTGGATTGCATTCCTACAAGTGTGCAGCTGGTTGCGGCCAATAATGAACTGCCCGAAAACTTTGAAACTACTGTACTTCTAAGACCCAAGCAGGACTCTTCATTTTTGGACTGTAAAACAATGACGGCTGAAAATATTATTAGGTAAATACTAATATTATTTTTTTTTACCCATTTTAAAGATTTACTTAAGAAATAGGGGAATGACAAAATAAAAATCAACTGAATTGTACTGTTATTTTACCCCAAAAATAAAATCAATTTAATTATTTTTATGAAAAGAAAGCAAACTTTAATAAAAATAATTGTCAAACTTAATACATTTAATACTTTAAGAATTCTTTTCTATTTCTTATTACACAAATTATACCTGTTTAGCTGTTAAAATATATTTTTACATTATTTTAAACATCTGGTGTAAGGGAGGTAATTCTCGTTGAAAACTTCAGTCTTGAAAAACTTCAATATTTCCATTTAAATAGAATTTAACACTATTCCTGAACACTTTTTTTGTTACGGTAGGGCAGAACAAGACACATACAGACTGGTACATTTACAAAAAAGCAGTGAAATGTGGAATGAAAGCTTTCGACAACATATCAGTAAAAGTCCAACCTGTAAAGGCAATCTCCAGTGGAATACTAATAAAGAAGAACAAAGAGGCTTTGTATGGAGAGCTACACTCAATTGTGATAATTGCAACTTTATTTCCAAAAAGTACAAGTTATATAAAGAAGTCCAAACAACAAAAAAGGGTCCAAAGCCTGCTGCAATTAATTATGGCATGCAAGTTGGACTTTCGCAAGTTTCAATGGGTTCCTCAGGCCTTCGAAAAATTTTATTGAGCGGCAATATTCCTGCTCCTTCAACAAAGGGTATGCAAAATTCTGCCAACAAAGTGATCGAAAAGATTGAAATTCAAAATGAAGCTGATATGGCTAATATAAGAACTGAACTCAAAACAATTAACAAAATGCGGGGTCATCCAGAATCTCATATTGATGTTGAAGGCGACGGATGTTATAATAATCCCCTATACAGTGGTATTGGTAAAACTCCATTTCAGCCAGCAACCCAAAGTTGTTATGTTGTTGTTGAAAACATGACAGATAAAAAGCTGGTAATTAATCTTGTCACAAAAAATAAACTGTGCAGTCATGGGAAGGATCATAGCAATGAAAATATCAACAACAAAAATTGTAAATGCACACAAAATTTACAAATGGTTGAAAGCATTGGGAACGAGCAGCGGAGTGCAAGCGAGAGTTTAACAAAACTGTACAGTGAGGGTTTTGAAGTAAGACACATCACTACAGATCCTGACAGCAGTGCCTATAGAGCAGCTGAGCAATTGGCATCTGATTATGATTCAAAACTAACACCAGAGCATCTAATAGATACACGACACTTTTCTGACAATCACAGAAAACATATAAAGAAAAATGAAATTTTAACAAACTTGATGCCGGCTAGGACTAAAAAACAGCGAGATGATCTTATTGGCAGATTTGCATTAGATCTAAGCCAAAGATGTCATGCTGAATATAAATCTGCATTAAAACATTGTGATGGGAATTTCCAAACCTTTAAAAGAAAGCTGTCTCACACAGTTGATGCTATAATTCTTTGTTATCAAAGTAAACATTGCATCTGTAAGAGAAATTCCTTTGTTTGCAAGGGGATAGAAGATCCATGGATCAACAAAAGCATCTATTTGCCTAAAACCTTCAAATTAAATCTTACTATAAAACAGCAGACAGAATTAAGAAAATGTATAAATTATAGACTCGGCCCAAAAGAGTTAGAGCGCACTAAGCTTGGAACAAATACCCAAAAATCTGAATGCGTCAACAGAATTATAAGGCGTTCCTTACCTAGAAGTAATACGTTCAGTAAAAATTTCCAAGGCAGGGCGATTGGCGCTGTATCTTCAGCAAACCATGGGCCGGGTGAATCCGTGATGGCTTTATGCTTGTCTGTTGGTGCACCGGTCACAGCTGGATCAAAAGTACACACACACCTACAGCAAGAACAAAAAATATATGAGAACCACAAACAATATAAAAAATTAGCTAAATATATGAAGAAAAGGAAACAAAAATCTAAAGCAAAATTTGATTTATACTCCAAAAATCAGGAGGTAAATAAATATGAGAAGGGTATGCTACTTGAGAGCCAAAAAAATATTCGACAAAAACTGGCCGACACAGCAAGAGGTGATCATGAAGCGTACACAAAAAAGGCTAAAAAATCATAGGAATACCTTTTGTATCATACCATGCAGTGCGGATAGTGCAGTTTTGAACAGTTTCCATTTTTAAAACATTCATTTCTGTTCATATTTATACAATGAGGCTCATGCACAAGATGTTCAATTAGGATACATTTCTTATTGTTGCATAGATGACTGACATCTAATTGTTCTCCATATTCATTTTTATTTTGTAAATGAGGACGTAATATTTTATTGTATGCCATATATACAAGTCTATGAGTCTTTTCAACAGTTTTTTTTCCATCTGGCCAGGTTACTCTCTTTCGGCCATAGCCAGCTTCAGAACAGGCACCATTCCACTGCATGCATTTATTGCCGAGGGGTAAAATTGAGCTTTTTCTGCATAATTCAAGTAAAATGTTTTCAAAGAATGCTTCCATAATTAATGACTTAGGCTACATGTATAAAAAAACAGAAAAGAATTTGAATACAGCGGCAATTACCATGACAACATTGGAGACATGTATCTCGGTTAAGGTGGCACGGTAGTATTTCCCTGCCATAGGCGACAATAGTAACATTTTACAGATTTTCATCACTTTCTAACACTCCCCAAGACCCAAAACCTACTGTAACTTGAAGTACTTTCATTCAGATATTCAGAAATAAATGAGAAACACCATCATGACCGTTTACTTTTTTAGCTATTGTCACCAGTCTAAGGGAACCAGTCATTTACATCATATTTGGCCGCAGTAAATGTAATATTTTTAAAAAATTGTCAAAAATTTATGTCTATAGTTAGATTTAAAAATAGGCATTTTTCATACTCATTATTGGTTAAAATACTTGAAAAAAATGTTTCTGGTTGATAATCCATTTCAATGTCCAATCACAGTGTCATAAGTATTCACCTAAGTAGGGTACACAAAGGAGCAACCTAAAACGTGGGAAGCAAATACTACCGTGCCACCTAGAAATTCATCATACTATTGTTCGTGTTTTTGCCAAGTAAATATGTTAGTATTGATATTTTTGTATAAAAGGTTTATTCAACAATGTTTTAATAAGATTTTGACTGATAAATTTTTGCCAAAAAGATATTTTATCGTGTTTTTTCTAAAAGTTAAAAATAGATTTTTTCTAACAATAAAAGTCAAATTGGAGCGGATAAGTGTTATTCCCGGAATACATCTAGGTGTAATACCACCAAATCATAGTACGTCACATCCGGTTGCATACGAAAATAGGTCGAAAAAAAATATTCCCTTGAATTTGACAGTTGTAGGTAATTGATCCTACATTTCATTGCAGTAAAACATTTCTGGGTCATAAACATATATCTTGGGTATTTCAAAGCACCATTATTTTTTTATTTGGGGTTTCTATAGAATATTTTGGAAACTTGAGATTACATGGTTACTAAAGCTTGTATACAGGTTAAAAAAGGGGGAAAATTTGATTGGTTAACTTCCAGTGATGGTTATTTTCTTATATGCAATGAAATGTTATGTGAAATTTTTTCTATAGTACTGGACAGGATCAAACTTTACTCATGCCAAGTATTTCTTTATTTGAAACAAAGATAAAGTCTGCACAATTTTTTGAAAAGTGCAAATTTAACAAAGACTAATAGGGGAAAATCAATGGTGGTATTACACCTAATATAGGAAGCTGTACATGCACCTTTGACCTTGTGAGTACTCTCATGTGTTAAAATTTCTTGCTATTTAAGTGAAATATTACTAATAATGAAATATTCTGAGTGGATTGAGTCTCCAAAACACATTTTATGAGAAAAATTCCTTGAAATAGGACTTTACCATGAATATTAGTTGACAGAATAAGCCATACTTAGAGTTTTGGGGAGCTTTTTCTCCTTTTTTCTTATATTCTGCTATACTAGAAAAAATTTTCCTAAGAAATACTTTAATAAATATATAGTTTTAAGTAAATGAAATTATTTTTAAAGCAGTAACAACAAATTATTCACCAAAAGAGAAGCTTTTTATGTCCCTCTCTGGAACGCGGCGTAAATTTAAGTTTTGCGTAAGGACTTATTGAAACCTCCTTGGAGACAGTAAACTTTTATACGGATAGTTCATTCAGCTTGAATACTTCAATTAATCATTTATTATAACATTTCTATCATAAATGAGTGAAAGTTACCCCAAAATTTTTATTTATTGGCCTATAAAGTAGAAATTTTGAGGAAATGAGAGGTATAAATGGACCAGAAGAGACCTTATAAGGAAGACAAAGAGGTCCATTGGTAGTATTTATCATCCTAAAGTCATCTTTTGTATCATATTCAACTGTTTGTAGGCAGATGAGATAAATATTTGATCATTTATTGGTCCACACTATATTCTATCATGATGCGGCTTGGTTTGGATTTTTCGAAGAAATTTAGCTCAAATCGCTGCAGATGTCGTCTTACATTATACTAGATTTTTCTCAAACTATTGAACTGATTATGACAAAACTTGACAGGAATGCTTGAAATAACCAGTATAACAAAGGAAAAAAGTCACATTCAGTTTATTTAACAAAAAAGTCTTCTTTAGGTGTAATACCACCAACTCATAGTACGTCACATCCGGTTGCATACGAAAATAGGTCGAAAAAAAATATTCCCTTGAATTTGACAGTTGTAGGTAATTGATCCTACATTTCATTGCAGTAAAACATTTCTGGGTCATAAACATATATCTTGGGTATTTCAAAGCACCATTATTTTTTTATTTGGGGTTTCTATAGAATATTTTGGAAACTTGAGGTTACATGGTTACTAAAGCTTGTATACAGGTTAAAAAAGGGGGAAAATTTGATTGGTTAACTTCCAGTGATGGTTATTTTCTTATATGCAATGAAATGTTATGTGAAATTTTTTCTATAGTACTGGACAGGATCAAACTTTACTCATGCCAAGTATTTCTTTATTTGAAACAAAGATAAATTCTGCACAATTTTTTGAAAAGTGCAAATTTAACAAAGACTAATAGGGGAAAATCAATGGTGGTATTACACCTAATATAGGAAGCTGTACATGCACCTTTGACCTTGTGAGTACTCTCATGTGTTAAAATTTCTTGCTATTTAAGTGAAATATTACTAATAATGAAATATTCTGAGTGGATTGAGTCTCCAAAACACATTTTATGAGAAAATTTCCTTGAAATAGGACTTTACCATGAATATTAGTTGACAGAATAAGCCATACTTAGAGTTTTGGGGAGCTTTTTCTCCTTTTTTCTTATATTCTGCTATACTAGAAAAAATTTTCCTAAGAAATACTTTAATAAATATATAGTTTTAAGTAAATGAAATTATTTTTAAAGCAGTAACAACAAATTATTCACCAAAAGAGAAGCTTTTTATGTCCCTCTCTGGAACGCGGCGTAAATTTAAGTTTTGCGTAAGGACTTATTGAAACCTCCTTGGAGACAGTAAACTTTTATACGGATAGTTCATTCAGCTTGAATACTTCAATTAATCATTTATTATAACATTTCTATCATAAATGAGTGAAAGTTACCCCAAAATTTTTATTTATTGGCCTATAAAGTAGAAATTTTGAGGAAATGAGAGGTATAAATGGACCAGAAGAGACCTTATAAGGAAGACAAAGAGGTCCATTGGTAGTATTTATCATCCTAAAGTCATCTTTTGTATCATATTCAACTGTTTGTAGGCAGATGAGATAAATATTTGATCATTTATTGGTCCACACTATATTCTATCATGATGCGGCTTGGTTTGGATTTTTCGAAGAAATTTAGCTCAAATCGCTGCAGATGTCGTCTTACATTATACTAGATTTTTCTCAAACTATTGAACTGATTATGACAAAACTTGACAGGAATGCTTGAAATAACCAGTATAACAAAGGAAAAAAGTCACATTCAGTTTATTTAACAAAAAAGTCTTCTTTAGGTGTAATACCACCAAATCATAGTACGTCACATCCGGTTGCATACGAAAATAGGTCGAAAAAAAATATTCCCTTGAATTTGACAGTTGTAGGTAATTGATCCTACATTTCATTGCAGTAAAACATTTCTGGGTCATAAACATATATCTTGGGTATTTCAAAGCACCATTATTTTTTTATTTGGGGTTTCTATAGAATATTTTGGAAACTTGAGGTTACATGGTTACTAAAGCTTGTATACAGGTTAAAAAAGGGGGAAAATTTGATTGGTTAACTTCCAGTGATGGTTATTTTCTTATATGCAATGAAATGTTATGTGAAATTTTTTCTATAGTACTGGACAGGATCAAACTTTACTCATGCCAAGTATTTCTTTATTTGAAACAAAGATAAATTCTGCACAATTTTTTGAAAAGTGCAAATTTAACAAAGACTAATAGGGGAAAATCAATGGTGGTATTACACCTAATATAGGAAGCTGTACATGCACCTTTGACCTTGTGAGTACTCTCATGTGTTAAAATTTCTTGCTATTTAAGTGAAATATTACTAATAATGAAATATTCTGAGTGGATTGAGTCTCCAAAACACATTTTATGAGAAAATTTCCTTGAAATAGGACTTTACCATGAATATTAGTTGACAGAATAAGCCATACTTAGAGTTTTGGGGAGCTTTTTCTCCTTTTTTCTTATATTCTGCTATACTAGAAAAAATTTTCCTAAGAAATACTTTAATAAATATATAGTTTTAAGTAAATGAAATTATTTTTAAAGCAGTAACAACAAATTATTCACCAAAAGAGAAGCTTTTTATGTCCCTCTCTGGAACGCGGCGTAAATTTAAGTTTTGCGTAAGGACTTATTGAAACCTCCTTGGAGACAGTAAACTTTTATACGGATAGTTCATTCAGCTTGAATACTTCAATTAATCATTTATTATAACATTTCTATCATAAATGAGTGAAAGTTACCCCAAAATTTTTATTTATTGGCCTATAAAGTAGAAATTTTGAGGAAATGAGAGGTATAAATGGACCAGAAGAGACCTTATAAGGAAGACAAAGAGGTCCATTGGTAGTATTTATCATCCTAAAGTCATCTTTTGTATCATATTCAACTGTTTGTAGGCAGATGAGATAAATATTTGATCATTTATTGGTCCACACTATATTCTATCATGATGCGGCTTGGTTTGGATTTTTCGAAGAAATTTAGCTCAAATCGCTGCAGATGTCGTCTTACATTATACTAGATTTTTCTCAAACTATTGAACTGATTATGACAAAACTTGACAGGAATGCTTGAAATAACCAGTATAACAAAGGAAAAAAGTCACATTCAGTTTATTTAACAAAAAAGTCTTCTTTAGGTGTAATACCACCAAATCATAGTACGTCACATCCGGTTGCATACGAAAATAGGTCGAAAAAAAATATTCCCTTGAATTTGACAGTTGTAGGTAATTGATCCTACATTTCATTGCAGTAAAACATTTCTGGGTCATAAACATATATCTTGGGTATTTCAAAGCACCATTATTTTTTTATTTGGGGTTTCTATAGAATATTTTGGAAACTTGAGGTTACATGGTTACTAAAGCTTGTATACAGGTTAAAAAAGGGGGAAAATTTGATTGGTTAACTTCCAGTGATGGTTATTTTCTTATATGCAATGAAATGTTATGTGAAATTTTTTCTATAGTACTGGACAGGATCAAACTTTACTCATGCCAAGTATTTCTTTATTTGAAACAAAGATAAATTCTGCACAATTTTTTGAAAAGTGCAAATTTAACAAAGACTAATAGGGGAAAATCAATGGTGGTATTACACCTAATATAGGAAGCTGTACATGCACCTTTGACCTTGTGAGTACTCTCATGTGTTAAAATTTCTTGCTATTTAAGTGAAATATTACTAATAATGAAATATTCTGAGTGGATTGAGTCTCCAAAACACATTTTATGAGAAAATTTCCTTGAAATAGGACTTTACCATGAATATTAGTTGACAGAATAAGCCATACTTAGAGTTT